GATGTATACACACATTATCCTCATCTTAACAACGCCATACCGAATCTCACCACTTTCTCATTCTTTGTTTCCATCTTTTCATGCTTTATATTTCTTTTGACTGAATTTTCTTATCTTTATCTTGCACGTCACTGCCTTTTTACTTGATGTACTGTACTGAGCTGTGGCATGTCGGACCGTTGCGTAGTAATGCCTGGTCCTATGTTGATATTGATGATGATGATGTTGATACTGAACCCTTACCCAGTGGATTTTGACTTCTAGTGGATCTGTGGCTCATTGGTTTAGATAGTCACCTTTCAACCAGCGGATCATGGGTGCAAACGCTGCTCCACGTACAGATATTTGGGCAGCCAGTTCATCGTCATTATCAATAGTAACATAGGACGAGGCATTGTTGCGTAATGGTCCAAGTTGTCATCATGTCAATTAACAAAGTAGTAATATAAAAGATGAAGACAAAAAGAAAAATTAGTCAAAAGCTGTAAACGAAAGGAAGGAGGTATAGGAAAACGTTGAACTCATTATGGCGATTAAGATTCTGTTTGGATATATCTGCGCTACTGACATAGATTCTGATCCACTTCAAACTATAGTCTCCGACTACTAGTTTATGTTTTCAAGTGGAACCCCAACCCATTAATCTACATCTATCAACACGGCTCAAACCAACAGTCAAAGACTTCAGGCACTAATGCCATGTTTTATCCTTACCGCCCTGTCCCTTATTCTAACCTCGACCTACATCCACTAACACTGAGCGACGAGGCAGACGGTGACTAGACATGAGTCTCATATATCTCAACCATCGTAGTAAACCTCATCACCTGAGATTCCTCTCCTCCACACGTGATTTCTGCGTTACTGACGTGGTGATACTACGACACGACCCATACTATGAAGGCAACGGTGGTTAACCACATAAAGCCTTCTCACGACATTTACCTTTAATGGTCATGCTTCACAACCATGCAGTAGAACAGAGAGAACTGTAGTGCATTACACTCAACCTTTAATAGACAATCGGATGTCACAGCAACACAACATATGGCTAAAGTTGGTGAAAGCCAAGGGAGACTTTTGTATCTGCGCAATGATTTAGTCAATCAGACCCACCAGGGTTGACCTGACTTCCCAATTAAATGAAGTAGTCAGCGCACTCAACCACTTCACTCCTTATTCTTAAACTAGTCACCAGCGAAAACTAGTTCTGGAGCAAAGATTCGCATTTGAGTGGTGAGAAATTCATCAAAAACATTCTCAAATCGTCACTCAAATAGTCTAGGGGTCTTTGCATCTTGTCAGAGTCTTCACTTAACAGGATTATGTCATCTGAGTACTCTAGATCTATCAAGGATTCTGATATGATAAAATCAATCCTCGTGAAATCGAAAAACGAGAGGGAGACCTCCACAGCAACGTTTATGATGAGATTTAATCGGAATGGAGAAAGTGGGCATTCTTGACGGAGACCACTCGATGTACGTGGCTCACTCAGCATAAGTTCCAGCACGTCCACGCAAATTCGAGTGAAGAACACTCTACAGAGTGATCTGCTTACTCAGTACATCTTTTACAGAGAGACTGCCACAAGACTTCTCGTTCGACGGAGTCGAATGCCGCCTTCAGGCCTTCCGGTCATCGTAATTGTGCCTTAGATCCAAACCTGGCAGAGTGGAAACATCTGGTTGATACACCCATGGAGAAATTTGAAGCCTGACTGGTTCCCTCGCGTCTGCTGTTCCTGAGCTTCACTCAGATGTGGAATGATAATAGAACCTAGAATCTTAGATACTATGCTCTACAAGCTGATTTTTCAGTGGTCATCACAGCAGGACTTCTCACCTTTCTTGAAGACCGAGATAAATAGTGATTGGGAACAGTTAGAGGGGATCCTATCTGACTGCCATACACTGGGTTAACCCCTCAGTTAATCTGACTAATAATCCACGACCAATATTTTCAAATACTTCTGAGACTAGTTCGTCTGGTCCTGCTGCCCTTCCTAGTTGTAGAGTGCTTACAGCTTTACCGACTTCCACAACTTTTGGAGGTCTCATCTCGACATTTTGCTCAGAATCCAAGTGGATAGCGGGCAACGCAATATTAGCTGGACACTAACTGAACTGATCTTTGAAGTGTTTCGCCCATAATTCTAGTCATCCCCCCTGTGAGTGAATCAAGAACACCCCTCTCCTCCTTCTATCGTTCCACTATCCATCGACCTTTTCGATCCAGTTTCCATGATACGTCTAAATAACTGTCTACTGTTGCCTAGCGCAACTGCCTTTCCCATCTCTTTAACCTTCACTGTCCATCACTGTTGGTGGTCATTACGTAGACTTTTTATCAGTCAACATTTGAATTGAATTCCCCCCCATTGTCCTCGGAGGCTGGAGGGATGCGTTAATCCAGAAGAAGCTGATGAGATACACTGGTTCTTTTTAGTCACTTTTTGAAAGTTAGTAACGGTCTGCTGTTTTTACAGAAGAGTGCAGATGGCACCAAGTTCCAACTAGGTGAATGATGTTGTTCTGTTCCAATGACTGTCTTTCCAGTATCTCACCAAAAGCCCTCTTAGTGATCTCATTGTCGAGCTGAATGAGCAGTGTTCTTGTTGCTAAAGTCTCCCTAAATCTATTTAGATGCAGACATCCATGTGCTCGAACTAACGCCTGATCCGGAAGGAGCAGCAGTCTTCCACTGGCCTTCTCCAGTGATAACTGGTAGCAATGTGGTTATTGAGACTATCGCTGGTTTAAGCTTGGTGGACGCCATGTCAAACGATACCTCTCTTTATGTCTGACGTTTGTGCTGGTTAGAAATGTTTGTCTGAGAACAGTTGTACCAAGATACCAGCAAGAAAAAAAGATGGTTAGTGAAACCATCACCAAAAACGATAGGACTCTGATAACTTCACAGGACAGGTAGCCAGAACGCTGGACAGAACACTTTGAAGCACAGTTCAACTGGTCTACAGCAACGTTTCAGTTGGCTGACATTCAGCCTGAAGCTGAAAGATATATACATGTAAGTTCACCAACTCTCCTTGAAGCTGAGGCTGTGTTTAACCTGAAACGATGCAAAGCAGCAGTACTTGACAGCTTACCACCTGCAGTCTTCAAAAATGGAGGTAGGAAGTTACTAACTAAAGTGAAGAAGGTACTGGAAAGTGTATGGGAATCAGACGTAGTACTCTCAAACTGGTCTACTTCTCTGATCATCTCAGTCTATAAGAAGAAAGAGAAATCTTCTCAAGAGCTAACCTAATCCCTAGAAGGCATCCAACTGACTTGAATTATGCAGACGACATTGTCCTTTTAGGTGAAGACACTGACTAAATGCAGGATCTTCTGAATGCCTTGACCATAAACCAGTGTACACTGATGAGTCACAGGAGAGCAACCGACTTCATGCTGTCTGGTCCTATGTGCTGACTGAATTTTATCGATCATTGTTTCCGCATGTTACAAACTTGTCAAATACAAGATGTTCCTTCACGAATGGTCTACAACCACTCTCAGTCTAAGGATAGGTAATCAAGTAGTGGAATGCGTTGACCACTTCACTTACATCAATGGTCGCATCAGTCCGGACACTGGCTACTGACAAAATTCCAGTTCGGATAAGAAAAGTCCATTTGGTATTTCCCAACCTGCATCAAAAATGCTGACAACTGACGAGGGATTCGACTACCTATTAAGCGACAAGTATACTGCACTGTATTCCGTTGTCCTATTACACGACTCGGAGAAACTGTTGTGGAAAACAGATATGAAGAGATCTCACGTTTAAGAAATCAGGTGTCTTCGCAACATGACTCATGTATGGTGGAAAACACCGTGTGAGAAGCGTACAGGTTAGCCAAGGGGTGATGGGCAAGGAATACAAATCAGTCCATGAGGTTTTGAATCTCCACCTACACGGGTTGCTTGGACACGTTGTGCACGCCAAACCAGATTGGAAGAAGGCTCAGGGTGGCTAGACAAAGACTTTGCACCAGTTCGTTAGGGCTACGACTGCTGATCTTAGCCGTGTACAGAAATGTAGACTAAATGGCTGGGGTCTTCGAGACAATAAGAATCAATTGTTGGAAATCATGCATGCATGAAAATCAGTAATAATGGCACAGATGTATTCACTCTTTGACGTCTTTTATAGCTTAAACATTTTCAATAAACATCTTTTTTTAATTAGTTTTTCCGCACAATACATTTGTCTACTTTGATATTACTTTGCATGCTACTGTGAAGTGTGGCAACTCATATCGGTGCACTTGCGTGCGAGGTTCGACGTTGAATTTATCTGCAACGTGACGTGTCTCACACACTACAGATGATACAAGTTCATAATGTAATCAACTAATTCAAGATATTTTTACTGAATTCCTTGCACAGCAAGTAGCCTTCTGAAAAAAGTCAGTTTTACTGGTCACTAAACAATAGATAAGTAACCTTGTGACGTACTCAATAATACTGCATCAAAGGGCAAGACTGTCTTAAGTGCTATTGAAAGTTATAGCACAGGATTACTTATTCTATATTCTGGTCACCATAAATTCATATAAGATGGTTATTCGTAAATGTTAATGGCTTATTTACAGAAACCCATTAAGTAATTCAAAATAAAAAAGAAACAGGTCAAATTTTCGCACTTGAAAGTTTATACACGGTCACGAAGAAGAGATCTATGGGAGGATAAATCCATGAGCTAAGTGGTAAGTCCTAGTGGAGTAATAAGTGGCAATATCTACTAGGTGGTTTGGTCTTCCATCGATTGCAACGCATGATACAGCTAACCCTTAACAAGCGATTTCATACACGGGTTATTTCATGACACAGGAAACCTAAGATATATCCCATTCTTTATCGAATACAGTTAGTACATCGTTTGAAATTTTACACCTAGTCTAATTATTCTCGGACAAAAAGATCGTTTATAAGTTCTGTGTTTCTGAAGACATTCCACAGAATGCAGTACGAAATAATTTGCTGGCTTACCTCGTATTACATCTACATCAATCAGTCCAGTCCGCGCTTTTCCTTCATGTGCAGAATGCTGGTCAATACCCTACAGTAAATAAGGAAAAAGATACCTCTCATTAATTTAGAAATAAAGATGAATTCCATGACGTAATTTTCACATGATATCCGTTCGACGTGATGACCCACTTTTGAAAGAAACTAACAGCTATGTGGTGATTGATATAACGGGATATACTTGCACCATAGACCCTGATAGCTAAAACTTGGTTCCTAAGTGTTAGGTGCATTCAGTAAGCTTAAATGAAATCTTTTGTAAAACTGCCAACTGTCTATCTTAACCTGATAATTAAGAAAATTTGGACCTCAAATGTAATGACTGACAAATGCAAACAGCTACATATGTTGTCAGAATGGTGCGGCTGATAATGTCAACATGTAAAACATTATTGTGCAAGGTTATCTAACACCAACAGAAATTGTCGAGTTTACTCACAAAACAAGTGTGAATAAAATGACACCCTCCTACTTTTGTTAAGTTTTACGAAACAGCTTGGAAGAAGCAATGTCTGTTAAATTCCCCCTTCATACTTATTTATTCAATTTTGTATTGAAAACAAGATTCTTTTATCTATATTGTGGATTGGAGACATTAAGTGTTACTGGGAACTAATGAGCAGTGGTATAAGTCCCCAAAACCGATAGGGTGCACAAAACCTGAATAACCAATAAATGAAAACTAATATCAGTTAAATTTATCTCACATATGAAGTCTAAGGTATTAGTCAGAATAAATCCTAACGTTTATTCACAAACTAAACAAGTAGCATCCGTAGTATCGACCCACATTGACTTAGGAGTCAGTCATAACTTGAAAACTACGGCGCACTGTTGATTGGTCGAAGCCCGGAGTTTTAGAACACTTCGAACAGTACGCAGAACGTCCACAATAATAAGTGTTCACCAAACAAATACATCCTTAGGTAGACAGAAACTAGAAAATCGTACACAGGCAGCAAATCCCTGTCTAAGAAGTGACTTCTGGAAATAGTCTAGACTCCAACCACTCGTATGATCCTTATGGCGACTAGCATGGCCTAAGGAGCTAAACGGCTTCTCTTAATCTTATCACAAGGAGAGCAGAAATCTAATCATGATACATAGGATACTAAGAAAGAGCTTTCAACTTTGATTCACCTCTTTTCCTTCGTCCTACTAGGTCGCAGCACCTCAGAGGGCATAGTAGGAGGCTACAAAAGCAAAGGACCAACGTACTCATAAAGTACTGGTTCTCGCATCGAGTAATCAACTGAAACTGACTCGCGGAAGAAGTGGCGTCCGTATCATCAGTTAACTCGCTCATAAAAGCAGTGAACACGCACAGAGACCTTCTGGAAAAAGACCAGTATTAGCTTAATGTTCTATCCTCAAACTACAAATCTGAATCCGAAAATGGGATATGTGTATTGAAAAAACTGTTAGAGGGCAGGCCTCTAAGGTGTTAGATGATACGTGTCACCTACAAAAATGTAGTTTCAGCCAACCAAGTAAATATGAGAGTATAGAATTTCAATTAGCAATGACAGTACAAATAAATACAGCATTAATACCGCATAAAAGACACACCTGCAAGATTCGCTGCTCAACGTTATGTTCCCATGGGTGCTTATCGTAGTTACTTAACTAAATAACTTATAAGTTTTACATCTGCAACACAATTACTTTCAACTGGAAAATCTTCACATGTGACTCAAAACTCCACATAATTCACGGAATCCGCGGGCGAATGACCGAAAATTCCGCGCTGATAAGCTAAAAGTTATGGATCAAAATCCACTCTCCCGATAGTTAACAAAAACAATAATGATGTGCAATGCAACTTTATTTCGAATTCCGAGGTAAAAAAGCGTACAAAAGTATAAATTAGACATTTTTTCACCACGAAAATGGCAGTTAATAGTGTTACCCATTTCTCCAGTGGCCTAGGGTTCGACGAGATTCAGCATTGATGCCGACCTTGATGGTTTTACCGGACTCATTAAACTGAAGGCACCCGGTCAAGCATCCTGGCCATTTGGCAGGCTGTCGTGTCACGTTGCACCGCTGGCAATCGACCCTCTAGCCAGGTAGTTGGGATGCATCCGCAACTTGGCGTGACCTCGTAAATACACTATTCCATCCGACTATGCTATTGTGTTCTTTCTTGCCCTTGTATTTGTGCGTATATAACAAGTTCGAATAATTAGTGATTGGCCTCTGCGTCTGTCAAGTTCACACCAGGACAATTCCTCAATTGGTGAGGCCGACGTCATAACAAATCCCGACCAAGAACAGATCTCAAATTGGTGAACCCGTTCCATTTTATACTTGCATATCGTTCTCATTTTGACGACCTTTATGTATCCACATACAACTCCTTCCCATGTCATGCCATATTCCGAAGCCTATCCGCATTACGCCGACGACGAACACCATCCAACTCGTGCTATGCTGTCCAGATAGTGCAGAAAAGTGGTTTCCGTATGCCAAGGTAGACTTTCGAGAACAGGAGTTTCAAATCCTCATTCTTGATTTCTTGCTGTCATACGTTCACTACCGTGGGAATTAAACACGCATGTTACGGGGTATATGTTTAGTCCTGAAGCAAGTGATCCTTTATGCGCCTCCCAAAGCTGCACTACTGGAGAAAAGTGGTCCCACTGATCCTCAGCGCCTAGACGAATTGCTTCGTAATGTAGAGCCAGGCAGCAACTCAGCCACTGAAGTCCTCGCACGCACACGAGTTGTGAGCACACGGACGTTCGATAATGACCTTTTCCGAGAGCTGTTTCTCTCAAAACTACCGCAACCGGTGCAAACTATGTTGGTGACACTTCGGTCAGTTCCAGTCGATGACCTAGCAGCCTCAGCAGATAAGATGCTGAAGTTTGCTAGCAGACCCGCCTTCAACCAGTTCTCTGTTTAGGTCACTGTGATGTGGCTAGCAAGTTCCACACACCAGCATGAATGCTAGTGTTTTCTCCACCACATTTTAGCGACAACCAGTGCACGGGGCCACCTGATGAGTACTGAATATTCGGTTCTACGAACTAAACGCCATCTTTAACGGCTGGTTTTCCCCCTGAAAACTAAGTGATTTTAGTGGAAGTGACTCCGAAAGCCACCTAAACGACTGACGAAGTGAGCAGTGCTGTTCTTTTCACGAAATGACTAAACCCGGCTTGTTACTGAAGCTCCTGCCCTGCAGTCTATATAAAGAGCTTCTTGGCAATATCTGTAATGAAGTTTATGTTCCCCAGTATTGTCAAAGCATGAGTCAATTCGATAGACCGGAGTTTATTCAGCCTACGCATTTTACCATTTTTGTTTGCATTCATTTAGTTTTCCGTTTGCGTCAGAGTGACCAAACACGTTAAGGTCCCAGTGCTTACTTCTAAATGGCAGTTTAACTGATCACGTGGCTTCCTTCAAACAGCACGCTGAGACAGAAATATATAGATTTTCTGCTGCACGTTTTCCCAACGACTGTCCAGGGGAACACAGTCACTCACGTAGTTAAGAAAAAGGGGTTGCTCCGCAGCTGTGGGCAATCTCGATCTGATCACTACATGAGTAATATCGTTGCACGATGGCAACACGATGACAACATGAGATACTACACATCTTATTTCTTTCTGTTTGACGCGATGTGGTCGGCAGACGTCTGTTGCACTGCCTACTGGCTAAGTTTCTTTATTCTACTGTGACTGCGAACCATATTCATCACCCTTAGTAGCCGGCAGAATCTGACTGTGTGGCAATGATAAAAAATTTCTATTTTCCCCAGCATGCAGTTCACGGCACGTCTGCCAAAATAAATAATTACTCTTATTTTCAGACTATGAATTTAACATGAGAAAAGCCGGCTTGCAGGCATCACCAAACTGATAATCGCAGAGAAACCTGAACGTTTTGAGCAGTGTTGAATGGCACAGAAGGAGGACATTAAACTCCATCATGATATCAAGTGTCCAAAACTTATGAAAATACCAGGAAAATAACACTTTACGGTACACATCGTTCTGGGTTTAGATCGTTCCTACTCACAACTTTTTGTTAACACTAGAGTAGCACCAAACGGTGCAATATTCTGTGTTTGCGGTATGAATAAAAGTAAAAATAATAACAATTTATTCCTGAATTTACAGGTGCATATCCCTTTTACAGATACGGTTGTAACAATTAGTGGTGGAAAATCCCCGGTAATATTTTTTTACGGAAATTTTTTATCACCTCCTTTTCATTCCAGGTAGTGGAAATCCCCAGCCCCAAAGAAAGAAAACTTCACACTATATGCAAATGGTGCACTTTAATCCAAATTTAAAAGTTTTGTTCTGGTTTTAGGTTATCAGGCAGAAATGATGGTCATGTTTAGTGAACATGTGAAAGCATCGCTCAAAATGAAGAGGAAGTAACTCAGCAATTTCTTGCTCGAAAAGGAGTAATGCTGGCTAAATTGCTCAGGTGCTTTAGTTTGAAGCATCATATATGTTGAGCGAAGTACCACGTTTTCAAAGGACATGCGTCTCCAAGTTCATTGAAACGTCAAGATATACTGTATAGACGAAAATAAATAATGCTGATGACGATACATCACCTTCCCGATGAAACCATCTATTTCTGTTTGTTCACGCTAAATAGGACACACGTCCACAGCAGCCGCCGTGGCGTCATGCACTGTACTCAATGGCTCGGTGAACATTGGCCAAATTCCTTTGAGTCCGGAGGCCGAGTCAAAGAATCCGCTCCTGTACGCAAAGTTGTAAGTATTTTTCTGCATTTTTTATGCTGTTTACAGCTGCAGTGAACAAAATGGCTCCAGCCAATGAAACGCTGAATTGATGAATATCAAGAGGCTTCAAGGAAGTATCTTCGCGTGATGCCACAAGGATGTTCATCACAGGTCCCACGATTGCAGGGGAGTAGCTTCAAGACGGGCGCAGTGATATTTAAGAACAGCAGCGGTGAAGTACCGTGATTCCAATCCAATTCCAGGTTTCCAAGATTCTATTTGCAATAAGAATAGATAAAACACAAAGAAGTGCACAAAGGCAAGTTAATTATATATAAATTTTAACTTATGTACGTGGTGTCAAGCCTACTACCGAATGTATAGTCCTAGACTTCATGTTTATATTCTTATTAAAAATATGCTATTCACTGTGTTTTGGAAATGCCATTTTCGAGGGGCTAAATCTGAGGATATCTTCAGTAGTGGTGGTAATGAGTGGGAGGTATAGTTGGACAACTTAATTACCGAAGTAGTCCTAATTGCCCCCCGGTTGTAATAGGGAAGAGTGCGGATTTGCCGATCAGGGTATGCCACCTCATAAGTTTAAGAGGCCTATTATACTGAGCGTTGTGAGACATAGATGTGATTCGCTGTGTATGTTGGGGAGTTTGCCGGAGGATAGGGATCTTTCTAAAGTAGGACTAAATTGGATAGTTGGGCTCGAAGCTCTGATGTCAACGGGAAGATGGTTTCACATTTTCGAGTATTAAGTAGGGACATGATTGGCCCATCTGTAGAACCCAGTGCTTCATCAGACAGACGTCTATTTTGACAGCAATTCTTTTGTCCGTAGCTTTATTGGCCAATAATAATCCACTTCACTGATTACAGGAATAGATAAGTATCGATACAGTCGTGTAATCCGGTGAACATATAAGTTCAAACATTCCTCACTCTTCAAGTGTTATCTTTCCCAGCAATACTGAAAATATTTGTTTTGGTGCAAGTAATTAAAGAATGGAAGAATAGTCGTTCAGCAATGGTGAATATTACCCATATATAAAATTTCATAGATTTCACATTAAAGTATGCAGCACTGACAAGGAGATGCATTGGCCGTTAATCGATGTCTGTTAGAATGACTGATACGAGGCAAAGCACTAGAGAAATCTGTTGCATTACATTATTATGGATGTGTTGCTGTTAGGTAAAGTGACCTCTCGGGTTTGATTGCTCATCCAAATTTCCGATGCATTTGTCACTGACCAGAAATCGGGGACCAGTTATTGTACTTGAGGTTTCGTATGTGGTATTATTCAAGGTACTGGTAGGGAGGCGAGCTGATTGTGAAGCTGTTCAAGAAACTAGGAATCGGTGGCAAGGCAGCTGAATACGTCTAACACCAGTTTCCAATATTGCGTAAGAAGTAGGGTAAACTTAGATGAATGAGACACTTTCACGTGACCATGAACGGTAAGGGCTGACAGAAGTCATCGATGATCTCCGTCGATGCTCTTGTAACTAGATCTTTAATTGGAAGAGTTTCAGCCAACATGACTTCACGTTCATTATCTGACAATTTATATTTTTTTCTGGTGACTTCTGCGTTTTTATCAACCATTGATAAGCTAAGATAAACCGCTTAGCTTGTGCGATAAATGACGAAAACCAAGGTGTGTGACCCTATCACTACTGTCCACGGGCAGTGGACGCTTGTTCCTATTACTGCCATCTGCAAATGATTTTTCCTGGCTCGCCCTTGTGGACAATGTAGAGGGGATTGTATCTTCTCTGCGGGATGGATACACTCCAAACGTTGGGAAGTGGTACGTCATATTATTCATCAGCAGTATATTTCATTCCCCTATCCCAGCAGGGGCAAACTGTTTTCTGGCTACCTTGACGATTTCTTATGGCACTCAGTTTGGATGTTCCTTGATTTGCCTGCTTGTAACATACTTAGTTTGGACCTTGATTCCAAATTTTTATATGT